AGAGATATGGAGAGAGTGGACAGCCTTGTCTTGTTCCTGATTTTAGAGGAATTGCGTTGAGTTTATCTCCATTTAGTTTGATGTTAGCTGTTGCTTTACTGTATTTTGCTTTTATTATATTCAGGTATGTTCCTTTTATCCCCCATCTCTCTAGGACCTTTATCATGAAGGGGTGCTGGATTTTGTCAAAGGCTTTTTCAGCATCTAGTGAGATGATCATATGGTTTTCCTTTTTCAGTTTGTTTATATGGTGGATTACATTGATAGATTTTCTAATGTTGTACCATTCCTTGCATTCCTGGGATGAAGCCTACTTGATCATGGTGGATGATATTTCTGATGTGTTCTTGAATCCGGTTTGCTAGTATTTTATTGAGTATTTTTGCATCAATGTTCATGAGGGAAATTGGTCTATAGTTTTCTTTCTTAGTTGTATCTTTGTGTGGCTTGGGTATCAAGGTAATTGTAGCCTCATAAAAAGAGTTTGGCAATGAGCTCCCTGCTTCTATTGTTTGGAATACTTTGAAGAGTATTAGCGCTTCTTTCAATTTCTGGTAGAATTCTGCACTGAAGCCATCTGGGCCTGAGATTTTTTTAGTTGGGAGACTTTTGATGACTGCTTCTATTTCAGTAAGGGTTATAGGTCTGTTTAGATTGTTTATCTGCTCTTGATTTAGTTTTGGCAAGTGATATCTATCCAGGAAATTGTTCATTTCCTCTAAATTTTCAAACTTTGTGGAGTACAGATTTTCAAAGTATGCCCTGATGATTCTCTGGATTTCCTCAGAGTCCGTTGTTATGTCCCCTTTTTCACTTCTGATTTTGTTAATTAGCATTCTCTCTCTCTGTCTTTTGGTTAGTTTGGACAGAGGTTTGTCTCCTTTGTTGGTTTTCTCAAAGAACCAACTCTTTGTTTCATTTATTCTTCTCAATGTTTTCCTGGTTTCTACTTAATTGATTTCAGCCCTTAATTTTATTATTTCCTGGCGTCTGCTCCTCATGGGTGAGTTTGCTTCTTTTTGTTCTAGAATGTTCAGCTGTGCTATTAACTGTCTAGTATGACAGTTCTCCAGTTTCTTCATGTGGGCACTTAGTGCTATGAACTTTCCTCTCAGCACTGCTTTCAATGTGTACCATAAGTTTGCGTATATTGTGTCTTCTTTCTCATTGAATTCCAGGAAGTCTTTAATTTCTTTTTTTTATTTCTTCCTTTACCCAGGTATAGTGCAATTTTGCATTGTGCAATTTCCATGAGCTTGTAAGATTTCTGCGATTTGTGTTATTGTTGAATTCTAATTTTAAAGCATGGTGGTCTGATAAGATGCAGGGGGTTATTCCAATTTTTTTGTTTCTGTGGAGATTTGCTATGTTTCTTATTATGTGGTCAATTTTATTATGTGGTGCTGAGAAGAAGTTATATCGTTTTGTGTGTGGGTGGAATGTTCTATAGATGTCTGTTAAACCCAGTTGGGTCATAACTTCTATTAGTTCTTTTGTTTCTTTGTTAAGTTTCTGTCTGGAGGTCCTGTCTAGCGGTGAGAGCAGAGTGTTGAAGTCTCCTACTATTACTGTGTGAGATTTTATATTCAATTTGAGCTTTAGTAATGTTTCTTTCACAAATGTAGGTGCCTTTGTATTTGGGGCGTAGATGTTTAAAATTGAGACTTCATCTTAATGGACTTTTCCTTTGATGAATATGAAATGTCCTTCTTCATCTCTTTTGATTGATTTTAATTTGAAGTCTAGTTTGTTAGATATTAGGATTGCTAAACCCACTTGTTTCTTGGCTCCGTTTGATTGGAAAATCTTTCCCCAACCCTTTACTCTGAGATACCATCTGTCTTTGATGTTGAGATGTGTTTCTTGTATGCAGCAGAAGGATGGGTTCTGTCTTCATATCCATTCTGCTAGTCTGTGTATTTTTATAGGCAAGTTGAGGCTGTTGACATTGAGGGATATCAATGATCATTGACTGATGATTGTTGTTTGTGCTTGATTTATTGGTAGTGAAGTTATTTTGTGTAGTTTCTCCTCCCTTTTTCTTTTGGTGTTTTGTAAAGTGGGATTATATATTGCCTGTGTCGTTGTGAGTGTAGTTATCTTCCTTGGATCTAGGTTTTCCTTCTAGCACTTTCTGTAGAGCTGGATTCATGGATACGTATTGTTTAAATCTGGCTTTGTCATGGAATATTTTGTTTTCTCCATCTATGGTAATTGAAAGCTTTGCTGGATATAGTAGTCTGGGCTGGCATCCTTGTTCCCTTATCATTTGTAGGACATCTGTCCAGGATCTTCTGGCTTTCATCCTTTCCATTGAGAAGTCAGGTGTAATTCAGATAGGTCTGCCTTATATGTTACTTGGTCTTTTCTTCAGCTGCTCTTAATATTTTCTCTTTATTCTGTAGGTTTGATGTTTTGATTATTATATGGTGAGATAACTTCTTTTTCTGGTCCAGCCTATTTGGTGTTCTGTAAGATTCTTGTATTTTCATAGGCATATCCTTCTTTAGGTTAGGGAAGTTTTCTTCTATGATTTTGTTGAATATGTTTTCTGTGCCTTTGAGCTGTATTTCTTTGCCTTCTTCTATACCTATTATTCTCAGGTTTGGCTTCTTAACGGTGTCCCATATTTCCTGGATATTTTGTGTTAGGGATTTGTTGGTTTTGAGATTTTCTTTGGCTGACAACTGTATATCCTCTAATGAGTCTTCAACACCTGAGATTCTCTCTTCTATCTCTTGTATTCTATTGGTGATACTTGCATCTGTAGTTCCTGATCGTTTACCCAGCTTTTCCATTTCCAGCATCCCCTCATTCTGTTCTTTTTTTATCATTTCTATTTCAGCTTTCAATCCTTCAACTGTTTGAGTTGTTTCCTTCATTTGTTTGTTTGTTTTTTCTCAGTGCTCTTTGGATTCTTTGAGAGATTTGTTTATTTCTTGAATTTTCACCCATTTCATGGATTTTTTTGTTTGTTTGTTTTTTCTTCTATTTCTTTAAGGGATTTCCTCGCTTCTTCTTTGAGGGTCTCTACCATCTTCATAAAATGATTTTTAAGGTCTGTCTCCTCTGCTTCATCAATGTAGTGCTTTTCAGGTCTTGTTGGCATTGGTTCCCTAGATTCTGGTGGAGTCATGTTGGACTTTTGATTGCTGAGTGAGCTCTTATTCTGTCTTCTTTCCATCTCTTCTTCCAGTGGGTGCTGGTGGGGTCTTTCTGTCTCCACTGGTCTCCTTCCTTCCTGAAGCTGAAGCTGGGATCACCGGAGTTTGAGGCCTGGCTGGGGTCACTGGAGTTTGGGGCCTGGAAGGGCTTATGTCTTTCCTGTGTGGGTGGGTCTTCTGGATGCCAGGAGTGGCCCCAGAAGATCGAGGGGATGGTGTCAGGCAGAGTATGGGGAGTGTTCCCCCGGAGACCCAAGCTCACCTGGCTGGGATGTGTCTCTGTCTCTTTTGCCTACTGTTGGGTCACCTTTCCTCCTATTGGATTGCTTTGTCCAGTCTCTATACGAGGGCTTTTATCTTGTCTTATCTTGCTTTATCATGTTTGGCTATTGCCTCCTGGAGGCCTTTTCTTTTCTTAAACGTAGGCAAGATGGAGCAGATTTGGGGAAGAGGGGAGGGTTGTGGAAGCTGGGAGGAGTGGAGGGAAAGGAAACTAAGGTTGGGATCTAGTGTTTGAGAGAATAAGTATTTTCAGTAAAAAGAAATAAAATACTCACTCAATAAGAATAAGCATAAATTGTGTAATAGTTACAAACACACTCTAGAACAGATTTATTAACTATATAGTCTCTACCCAAGGGAGAGTATAAGATTTCCTTCCTCTAAAATATTAACAAAGTACAGAAATCCCTACAATTCAATGGCATATGATCATTTTCATATATAGCAGTAAGTTGCAGGCTATGGATAATGGGCAGGAGGTAAGATTGCCTTTTCTGTGAAGACTGAATTTCATGGACACAATGGTAGTAGGGGTTGAATGCTGCCTCTTCAGGAAAATCCTCTGCTTTTGGAGGTCTCAGACAAAATTAGAGCTGGAGAGTTGTCCAGAGCAAAATCAGCAGTAGTGTATGAGATGAATGAAAAGCAATAAGTTCATCATTTCCTCCTGGAAATGTTGTTTCTAGGTATAGATTACTGCCTGGCATTCATGTGACTCCCAACAAATATTCTTCAATGTTTAAATGATGGAAGCAAACTTATGTTATTCTTTTTAAAGCTACCTGACAGCCAATGATGAATCATCTTAAATTGTATTTTCACTGATGTTTTTAAGATCACTATAATTTAGCACCTATGTCTTAAAAACACATATTTGTAATCCACTGACCTTTGACATTTGGTTTAACACTCAATTTTAATTTAAATATTTAGATTAGGCTTGAGCCTGTGATGCACACCTGTAATCCTAGCTACTTCAGGACAGTGACAGGAGAACTAAACATTAAAGTCTGGACTGAACTACACTATGAGTTCAAAGCTCATCTGTGACACTTAGTGAGATCACATATTGAGATTTTAAAAGGATTTTGGTATACACCTCATTATTAGAATGTTTAACAAGCTTTTGCAAAGTCCAGGCTCCAATACTATTTTAATAAGTAAATAAAAACAGGGGATGCCTGATATTTTCTCAAGTGAAATTAGGAGAAGTGAATATGGAGTAGGAAGAACTGGGGATGAAGGACTGGGAGGGCAGGAGGGAGGGAGCTGATGTTGGGAGACAATATATGAGAGAAGACAAAAAGGATGACAGTGAGGACCACTCTTTTGACATTTACACAGGGCTCTCTGTTGAAAGCTGCTTCCAGCCTGTGATTTGACAAGATGCTAAGATCACACAAATCAATAATTGATGGGATGTTGGTGATCTGTTAGATAAGGGGATGGATGAGTTATGAGTGTGTGTGTGTGTGTGTGTGTGTGTTGTGTTGTGTCAGAGACAGAGAGACAGGGAAGGGAGAGGGGGAGGGTGGGAAGCTTGCACACTCTGCCTCAGCTGACCAGCTCCTCCTTAGCCAAGAGTTCATAGATCTTCTCATGAGCCTCCCCACAGAGCATTTTTATCTCCTCACTGGACACTTGTAGTGAAATCTGCTCCCTTCGCAGTTTTCTGTTTTCTTCTCTCAGCACACTTACTTTTTCCTTCAGCTGAGTCCACTCATTAAGAAGCTGGCTGTGGAGGATGTTGAACCATCACAAAACAAATGGTGAGACCCCTTTGGGCTCAGCCTGCCATTCCCACCTCATCCATTCAAGGTCCCATGTCTATAGACAGCTCCAGACTAGAGATCACAGCAGCCATGTCAGCATAACTTAGTAGCTAACAAAAGCCAGAGAAAAGCCAACTTCGAGAAAGACTCAGACTACTTCTGAAAACCCTGAAACTAAAAGGGAACCATGTGTTTCTGTGAGCAGGGTTTGCCACCCCTCTCCCACCCCACAGGCGCTTAACTGTTCATGGTATTGGGAAAACATCAGGAGGAAGAAAGGTATAAGGCAGACATTCTCTGAGCAAGCACAGAACTCCCAATGGCAATATATTCCAATTTATAGGTCCCATGGACTCAACTCTGTAAGTCTCTGCTAGAGCCACAGAAACCCACAGGTGCCTGACTCCCCATCATGGTGCAAACAGTTTTTCTACCTAGAGGATCCTGAAGCTGGTAGGACAATGCTGGGAGGGGCTCACAGACACTTCACTCTTGGCAAAACTGGTCCAAAAGGCCCAAGATGGGCTGCTTACTATGGCACAGATGGGCTAGAACAAAAGTCTCCATTTTGGATCAAAGACAAAATAATGGTAAAGCAGTCACTGTCAAATAATGGGTCCTAGTGAATTCAGTCACTCCCCTGCAGGAGACAGTTTCCTCAGTAAGCTCCCTGCACTTCTGCAAGGCCTCACTAATCTCCTTGGGGAATTTCTTCAGGTCCAACATCACTTTTTTATGCTCCATATTCAGCATCTCCAGTTCAAAATTCAGCCCATGGTAAGGCAAGACCCAGGAGGCAAAATACGCCATGAACACTGGACTCAATGATCACATGAATTCAGGCTGTGCCCAGAACAGCCCCAGCACAGTCAATGCCCCATTCTGGTACCTATGAACTAGGACAACCTGTGCTTGTTCAAGTTTATGTCCTGGTCCCAGGCTGGTGGTCAGGAGGTGCAAAGGGAGTGATCCAGGATTGCATGAGCTCCATCACTGGAGCTCTCTAGGAAGTCCACAGGGGTCTGTGTCACAAGTCTTGGTCCACCAGAAATCTATGAAAATGTTGCTACTCTCTTTAGAAAAGGGATTATTGGTGCCAGGTTCCTATTGTTACATACATGCCCAGAGCACAAAATTAGTACTTTCAGGGAGGAGACCCAATTAAAGGACAGATACATGAGTCTCATTGGATTCTAAAGAGTTGCAAAATGAGAACACCAGCTGCCCATAGTGAAGTCCCTGACCTTAATACTGGCATCACCTGGAAACTGTGACACAGGAAGAACTACATGCCTTGCTCAGACCCAGAGCTTCTAGGATCCAGTCACAACAAATGCACACTGAGAATGCCAACTAAATGTAGTGAAGTGACATTGTCTCAGAGTATAGGGAACAGGACCAGAGAGGAGCAGTGATGAGATCCAATCTTCAAGCCACTCGCTGAGATGGACCAAGTGGGACCAGAACCCTCCAGCTGCTGCCAGGAGCAACCAGCACCTAAGAACATGCTTGATGGTGGAGGCCCAGAAGTATATCTGTGTCTCTTATTGGCTGATGAATAAAACATGAATTGGCCAATAGGCAGTCGGAAGGTATATTCAAGGCTACAAGATGAGGAGAATTCTGGGGAGATGATGCAGAGAGGGGCCACAAGGGAGACTCCATGTACCTGTTGGGAAGATAGGATGCCAGACATTTTCCAGTAATATAAGACCATGCAGAAATACACAGATTAGAAATTACAAGGTAACAATTAAGAGAGCAGTAGCCAGTAAGAAGCCTGAGTCATTGGCCAAGCTGTTTATACTTCATATAAGTTTCTGTGTTGATTTGGGGCTAAACGGCTGTGGGACTAGGCAGAACAAAACTTCTTCTACACATGCTGGTCAAGTACAAAGTCTCACCAAAAACTCACAGCACATGGCATCACCCACAACCCAACACCTGCCAAGGCCTTTGGAATAGTATGTTGAGAGCTCACACACTGCTGACCTTATCCCCAGACTGATCCAGGCCATAGGCTCTGCTTTTCATTTGGTGGAAGAACAATAGCCTGTATTTCCATTTCACTCCTAGACAGGTTTAAGTTCTGCCTCTCAGATGTTCTGCCTCTCAGATGCAGTCAGGAAAATTATTTTGGGCATGGGGACATCCTGGAAGTACAGTACCTGAGAAATGCTGGGGTTGACTCAATGGAGTCAAGACAATCACCAGACAACTGGGCATAGTGACTACCTGTTGTTCAAATCCTTGTCAGTATAAATGGTCAGGATTCCTTGGAGTTCATTCCTTTCATTGGTCATCATCTGGAGTTCATGGGTCAGTTTATCCAATGTGTTCATCTGTTGCTCCTGCACAGTGGGAGAGGCTGGGGTTGATGCCTTTCCAGTACTCCCTGTAGGCAGATAAATAATTTGTATAGTTGTTATGGTACAGTGGCAGGGAAGATCATGTTGAGTACTAAGAAGAAGCCTAAGCAGTAGGGAATGCATGTAACCCAGTGAAAACCCCAATGAGCAAGACAACTTTCCTCTAGCAGGGGGCCCATAAATCATGTCTGTCTCCAAATCACCATGGCTAGATATGTGCATCAGCCTCTACTGCAGTCCCAATGACCCTGGAAGGAAATGATACCCAGCTGTGATGCTTGGAGATGTCAGCTCCTATCTGATAGAATGAAGAAAAATCCTGGAGTCCCTAGTGCTTAGCATCAAAAATCTTTATTTCCCTGTTTCCAAAACTAAAAGCAATTGAATGTCTGAGACTTCAGCACATGGATGGGGAGTTTCACCCCCTGGTATTCGCATCAGATACCCATAGAAACTATGCAATCCACTGGAGATGAATTGTAACAACACCCTCCATGACAACTCATTAGTCTGTGCCTCCTGCTGGCCTTCTTTGCCTCTCAAAATGAAATCAAGGAATCCCTAGAACAGCAGCTGCAGTCTTGACAATTGTTGGCTCTCTGCCAAACTAACCATCAGAAATCTTCCACTCTGGGTCTGCACCTTAAGAACCCTGAAGCATTACAGACCCATGTCTTCCAAAGATCCCAGTTACTGAACCCTATTTCTGGAAGCCCCAATCCCTCCTTAGAATGCCAGAGCTCTCTGCATATTGGTGTGCTCAGTCTTGCCAACATTTCTTCTGGCGCAACTTATAAGTACTTAATGAATGTCCCAAAGACAGTAGGTGTTGCCACAACACTGATGAATTCACAGAACATGTCAAGGGCCCTCCGTGATACAACAGAATGTCCAGAGAGGGGATTGTTAGGGTCACTGCTAACTGTCAGCAGCTATCTGATAAATATCTCCTCCACAGTTGACCAAATGTCAAGCTGCCCTTTCCAGGGAAGACCTTCAGCACCCTCTCCTTCAAATCCAGAAATCGCTCTGATTCATTAGAGTCTTTGCACTAGTTCATCTTGTGAAGGTAAAGACTCACTTTCCAAACACTCTCTAAGCATGGCTCTTCCTCTCCTTAAGATTTCTAATCAATAAGATGAGAAGTAAAGAATACTAATAAATTAGCTCAGGATGATGGGGAAGACCAGTTCCATGAAGTAAGCGAGCACATTGGGAAAGGTCCACGGGGCTCTTACAATGTGTGGGCTGGTGGGGGATTGTGGGTGTCCCATCAGACCAAAGATAAGTCACATGGGTAATGATGAAAATTTCCCCAAAACTTCAGCAGAATGCATCCCATCCATCATGATGTTAGCAAAGGCATGATCTCCTAGTGATAGGACATGCTGGAGATACCTAAGGGCTGGGCATCCACAGGTGGCCCTCAGACTCCAAGAACAAACACTTGCAGGAAAGGTGGCAACTCATTCCTGTACTTGAGTCATAGGAAAGATCATGGGCTAGTGAGAGGACAGGAACTCAGAAACCTTAGGGCTCACTGACATGCAGCAGTATTTGGTGGCTCTTGCTCTGCAAGTGGCTATGAGGTAAAATGTGAGAACCTTCAGCTTTGCCCAAGGAACTTTATTCTCCCAGTTATCAGTGGCATATAACCAAAGGAAATCCATTGTAGGTGACGTGTAGGGCTATAACTGAAACCTCATTCATCCCTCTGTGCCTCCCTACCCCTCAGAGTGAAAGCAGAGGGCCCCTAGCACAGAAGCTGCAGCACTGACCATTCCTGGCTCTCTGACAAACTAACCATCAGAAACCTTCACTCTAGGTCTGCTCTTTAGGGAGTCAGAGGGGCAAGATACACCCATTACTTCTCTGAATCTCCATGATCCTGAGTCCCAACATGAAAATCCCAGCTGAAGCCTTCCTCCTTCCAGAAGCTCCCCATACCTGCCCAGGACTCACTGTGATTTCCCCAGAAATATTTCTTGCTTGATGTGTGACATTGAGACCAAATGCCAGCTTCTTTCTGCCTCTCTCTAGTCTTGTAATTCTCTCCCTTATGTCTCACAAGGAGCCTGTCCAGTCTTGCCTGCCTGGCTATGGGTGCAGCCTGTAGGCAATGAACAGAAGCCCCAAGATCAGTTGGTGGTGCAACACCACTGGTGACATCACAAAGAATGCCTGAGATCTCCAGGATACCGTAGAATGTCCAGTTGGGATCTACTGATGTCCATGTAACAGCCATTACCTCCCTGCTATTTACATCACTCCAAAATGAGCTGAAACCAAGATGCCATATTAGGAGCCTCTCTAGGGTCACAGAGGAAGCTCTTTGTCACATTCTCCTTCCAAAGTCCTAGATCAAGCTCTCTGCTGCATTAGAGAGTTTATCTGTGGGAAGGCAAAGTTTCACTTTCAAAACACTGCACAGGAGTGGCTCTTCCCCTCCTTAAGAGCCATACTCAGTAAGATGAGAAATAACAATGCTGAAAGATTAGCTCAGGAAGATGGGGAGTAGGAGGAAAGAGTCCTGTAAAGTGACAGCATGTAGGGGAAAACCTCTTTTAGAGATTTTGGGGTTCAGAACAATTGAAATCACATAGTGATGAAAATTTTCCCCAGAGTGTCAGAACTATGATGCTGTGAGTAAAGATGTGATTAACTCTTGACAGGTCTGGCTGGAGCTACCTGAGCCTATGTAAGCCCTCACATATTGAAAGCAAACTGTTCTAAAAATAGTATGATGCTCAAACTTTGACCAGTAGATTGAGGAAAGAGTAGTGGCAAATCAGAGGGTAATCATGGCTATTGTAGCAGCACCATGAGTTGGAAACTCTCTCTCTCTCTCTCTCTCTCACGCGTGCACACACACACACACACACACACACACACACACACACACATCAGGCACATAGCCATGGGGTAGAACAATGTAGATCACTGCTATGGTGCTCAATCAGCAAACAAATGCCACTTTCCTTGTCTGGGGCCACCTGTTACATCACATCAGAATTAGCCACTCCTCTGTCTGTAAAAGAGGGTCCTTAAGGCATTTATGAATATTATATTTACCATTAAGCCATTGCAAATTTTCCATGGTTGATGCTTGCAGACCTCATCATGGGCTTAACTTGAGACATGCTTCCAGGAATAGAATCATCTCATATAATAACTTAAAAATATGCATATAAAACTAAATTAACACAATATTCTAAATAAATATGATAACCTTGTGTCAATTATATTAAATATACATCAGCATCTTTCCACATAGGTAGGAATCAGAAATTCCTGGAAAGTACATGTTTTAAAAGTGTACATGTTAATTTATCATGTATTTAATGAATGTACTGCTCCCGTTAGAAATGATAACTTCAGCTGAATGCACAGAAAAACAAATTCTGACCTTGGAATATTCTGCAAAGGTGAATTTAAAGTACAAAAGATGCAACTTTGAGACATTCTACTCAGATACATTAATAAAACCTTCACTGTGTGATTGTTCTTGCAGAGTACCCAGGCTGCAGTCCACTCACGCACAAGGGAGGTCACAGCCCTCCACAACTCCAGTTCCAGAAGATACTATGCCCTCTCCTAAAGTCTTTGGACCATGCAATCATGTGCTTCAGAAACATACATCAGGAAAAAACACCCATACACATAAAATAAAAATGAAGTTACTTTTTAAGTCTCTTGTATATTATACCTTTACTGACACATTCACAAACTATTCTCATGTGTACGCTAATGTGTTACACATTTTCTGGTAACATTCTTGTTGTTGATTAACTTGAGATGTATGTAGTCCTGCCTGTCCTGGAACTCATCATATAGACAGTGTTGACCTACAGATATCCAAGTGACTCTGTATTCCTTGTGTTCAGATTACAAGTGTGCATCACCATGCTACACCTTATAGAATCATCACAGTACTCATTAGGAGGATGACCTAATGAAGTTAGGAAACTTCAAAATTAGACTGTGAGGTTAGAGGGAACATAAATTTCATGTTGACTAGGGAATGCTACTTCCTTACTAAGTAAAGTACTGTAATGAAAATGTAGGAAGAGTCATTATGACTGTGCTGCTAGAGGTGCATATGGAGGAGGTAATGGTGCAGAAGAGAGGCATGCTGTCCTGCTGTCCTGCTGTCCTGCTGTCCTGCTGTCTTGCTGCCTTGCTGTCTTTCGGTCTTCCGGTCCTGTAGCAAAAGCTGCTAATTCACCTTGGTTGCCACTTTTCTCTTGTGTATCTAGGCTAAGAGAGAATTCGTCCTTGTGAAATGGGCTCCCAAAGTCCATTCCTGCTCTAGGGATACATCCCAGTTCCACTGCCAGAGGCCCCATAGACTGCCCAGTGCTGCTAGTTGACACCCATGTTCAGGGGGCCTGGTTTGGTCTTATGTTGGTTCCCCAGTTGTCAAACTGAGGTTCATGATTTCCCACTTTCTCAGGTCAGCTGCTTTTGTGGGTTTTCCCAGCATGATCTGGGCCCCTTTATTCATCACTCCTCCCTCTCTGAAGCTGGAGTTTGGCTGAGTGCTTGGCTGTGGATCTCTGCTTCTGCTTCCATCAGCTACTGGAAGAAGGCTCTAGGATGGCATTTAAGGTAGTCATCATTCTCCCTATATGGGAAGGACATTTAAGGTAGCCTCTCCACTATTGCTTACATTCCTAGTTGAGGTCATTCTTGTGGATCTCTGTGCAATTCCCTAGTGCCAGATTTCTCTTTGAACCTATAGTGGCTCCCTCTGTTGGTGTGTCTTTTTTCTCTCCTCTTTTCCTCTCCCTACTCAATCTTCCTGATTGCTCAAGTTCTTCCCCACACCCCACTCTTCTCTCCACCTCTCTATTCTACCTTCTCCCACCCCCATGCTCCCAATTTATTCAGGGGGCACTGTATGTCTCTCTTACAGTCCTCCTTGTTTTCTTGCTTCTCTGGAGGTGTGGATTGTAGGCTGCCAACCCTTTGCTCTATGTCTAATGCACATATATAAGTGAGTACATACCATGTTTGTCTTTCTGTGACTGGGTTACCTCACTCAGGAAGCTATCTTCTAGTTCCACCCATTTGTCTGCAAATTTAAATATTCCATTTTTTTCTGCTGAGTAGTATTCCATTGTGTAAATGTAGCACATTTTCTGTCTCCATTCTTCAGTTGAGGAGCATCTAGGTTGCTTCCAGATTCTGGTTATTACACAAAATGCTGCTATGAACATAGGTGAACAGATGTACATGTTGTATGAATGTGCATCCTTTGGGTATATGCCTAGGATTGGAATTGCTAGATCCTGAGGTAGACTGGTTCCCATTTTACAAAAAAAACTGCCATACTGATTTTCAAAGTGGCTGTACAAATTTGCACTTCCAGAAGTGATCCTCTCCTTTTTATTTTAGCCATCCTGACAGGAGCAAGATGGTATCTCAGAGTTATTTTGATTTGCATTTCCCTGATGGCTAAGGATGTTGAGCTATTTCTTAAGTGTCTCTCAGCCAATTTAGATTCCTTTATTGAGAATTCTCTGTTTAGTTCTGCATCCCACTTTTCAATTGGATCCTTTGGTGTTTTGGAGACTTGCTTCTTGAGTTCTTTGTAAATTTTGGACATCAGCCCTCTGTCAGATGTGGGATTAGTGAATATCTTTTCCCAATCTGTGGGCTGCCTTTTTGTCTTGCTGGCTGTGTCCTTTGTCTTACAGAAGCTTATTAGTTTCAGGAGGTCCCATTTATTAATTGTCGATCTCAGTGTTTATGCTACTGCCTCTATGTTCAGGAAATGGTCTTATGTGCCAATTCATTCAAGTATCCCTCTCACTTTCTCTTCTAAGAGGCTCAGTATGGCTGGATTTCCTTTTATCCATCTTAGTTGTATTGCTGGGGGCTCTACAACAAAACAGAGATTAAGAAGAGGAAAGCAACAAACCTAAGATGGACAGGAAGAAAATGTATTTTTTCTCCTGCATTTACTACTTCTCTTCTAAAACACTTATTTGTCAACCAAATGATGATTGATACTCTCCTTTACAAAAAAGTCTTCTACTCTTCAAAAATGTTTTTTATTAGAGCTACCATAAGAATGTTTTCTTCTCCCTTCTAAGCATATCTTGGGGTGTGGTAGTTTGAGTATAATTGGCCCCCATAAGCTCATATGGAGTGGCACTATTAGGAAGTGTGGTTTTGCTGGAGGAAGGGTGGCTTTGTTGGAGGAAGTGTGTCACTATTATGATCAAGCCACACCTAGTGTTTCAGAGCACTCTTTCTTGCCTTTGGGATCAAGATACAGCTCCTCCTCTACATTCAGCACCTTCTCCAGTACCATGTCTGCCTGCATGCCTCCATGTCCTGTCATGTTGTTATCAGACTCAATATCTGAAAATGTAAGCCACACCGAATTCAAGGTTTCCCTTTGTAAGTGTTGCAGTAGTCATGGTGTCTCTTCACAATAGAAACCCTGACAAAGACAGGAGGCATCCAAAATAACTACAGAGTCTGCAGGGGATAAAGAAACAATCATGAATTATTCTTAAAATTAAAATTAAATAACTGAGTCACATGAATTCCCAAATGTTCATGTTTCAGTCAGGTTACAGGGTACTTCACAGTCAAATCTTTATTCTGGAAGAGAAAGAAAACAGAATGCCACTTAAGATTACCTCTTCTGAAGATGATGAAACATTTGTGAAAAGCTCAATAAGAATCACAGGCATTATATAATTCTTCCTAAGGATGGAAAAAAGAAGATAGTTAACAGTATAAGTGAATGAGCTGAGCCAGGCCCATTATCTGGGTCTGCAGAGAAAAAAATCCTCTAGTCCAATATCAAAAATCAAAGTTGCAGCAACAGTGATTCTCACATTTTTTCCAAAATATAAGTTTCCATCAGATATTTCATATGATTGAACTGCTATCCTAGGTTTGCTCTAATGACCTGGCATCAACATCCTAAACTGAACTGACTATTCCTCCTCCAAAAGCCATCAGCTGCTACCAGCTCCTCAACTAGTAGTTCTCTTCCTTGCTAGAATGTTTTCTGGTGCCATGGCCAGTGGGGTCAGTCAATAGGGACCCTAGAGGAGGGAGTGAGAATTGTGCCACAAGAGACATGAGAGATAGAGATAAGACAGAATTCTTATCAAGTCTCATTTATTAAAAGTACCAACAAGGCTTAAGTAAGGCAGGTAGCAGAATGGCGGGGAAGCAGAAGTTCTCCTTGTCAAGGTATGTTCCAAGGACACAAGTCTGCAACTGGGGGAGTCTGGACTGCAGGTCAGGTGGCAGAAGCATGGGAAACCCTGGACTGCAGGCCTTGAAAATATGCTTTACAGGAAGATAAGCATACAGAGAAATACACACTTAACTATTAGTCTCTAAGAACACAGTAGGAATATTAAGATAGCTTCTATTATGCTATCCTTATTTAGGGCCCTCCACAGACTGACTTCACCTTGGAGTTCATGAGTGCAGCAGTCCTGGCCTGTCCAGAAGATCCTGTTTTATTTCAAGCTATGTAATATGCTACAAGCATTTCAGAGATATCAAATTTGACATAAAATATGATGCAGTGTCAACAAGAATTCAGAAGAAAATGTTAATGTTATTAATTTGATTCATCATATTCCCAAATGAGTTATCGTTACATTAATCAAGACAATATAGTATCATGAATCTGACTGTTGCTTTTTATACTTGAACTTTTTTTAGATAATTTCTTCCATCTATACAATTTCTAAAGTGCAGCACCAGAACCTGAATGTGAGAAAAGACAACTGGGGACTGAACTGAACCCGTATCCATACTCTTGAGACTTCAAACAGGCACAACTGCATTTGGTGCTTGAAAGTTGGTTGCCCTCATACTTGGGACAGGACTTTGAGTTTATCTCAGTGTTCAGACTCTATCAGACCTCTGCCTGGATTGTTTTATTGATTTTGTTACTCATAAGTTTGCATGCATATGCATACATATGTTCATATTTATATGCCTAACATGTTTCCACACAAACTCTGCTTCAGTAGTTCTTTTCTAGTACTTTCCCAGAAACATAGTCCATTGTGTTCTTTTTTTCTTACAAGATTTCAGAGACTCGAACTCAATATCAAATATTTTATCAAGTTCTCAAAGAAGGATGCACATTGTATTGTATTTTTATATTCCCAAGATGATGTGTCATGACAATCATCAAAGGTTAGCAAATAAAGACGTTCCTTACATATTGTCAGGATTCCTCCTATATTTAATTTCCCTTATTCTGACTTTACTTGAAATTTCCAATGCAGAATTTTCTACATTTCATTTAATCAACTTGCTACATATCTTCTCTCCTTAAAGGGCTGCAAACTCACCATTGAAGGGGGCATCCTTGTGCAGCTGAGCTCAATGTTGTCTTTAAGAAAATGACATCCACAAGAGACAACATCAGTACATCACTAGAAAAGTTTTTGAGAGGGCATCAAACATTGATAGGGACTACTAGAAGTCTTAAATCATCCATATCCCTCTGACTTTTCCCTAAAGTATGGCCTTAAAATTGGTGCCTGGGGATTTATCTCAGTGGTGGTGTGCTAGCAAGCACAGGCCTTGAAGGGTTTGGTCCTCAGCTCTGAAAAAAAAATTGACTAAATTTTATCTTCAGAATATCTATCCAGTTACATATATCTGGACCAGATTCCCTCATTTCTCCCTTATAATAATCTATATTACCGAGAAGTAGACAGGCTTCCAGTGCTTGGGATCTACTGCTGCATCTTTCATCCCAGCGACAGGAGCCAATGCTCCCTAGTCTACTGCCCCATCCACGGGTCCAGGTAAACTAGGGCCCATTTCCGGACCACCTGCCTGGGCCTGGGTTCTGCCACTGAGGCTTCCATCCCGGAAGAGGCAGCAGGAGCCAAGGTGCCATAGTTTCCAGCTCCACCCACAGAACTAGGACTAGACTGGCTGCCAGTGCTCGGGGACTGCCACAGCGGCTTCCATCCCAGAGGCAGGAGCAAACTCACCCTAGCATCCTAGTCTCCTGCTCCACTCATGTGACAAAGACTAACAGGGCCTGTCTCCAGGCCACACTCCTGTGCCTGGGGTATACCACTGGGGCCCCCGTCCATCCCAGTGAGATCCATAGCACCCCAGAATCCTAGTCCATTTTTCCACCCAAGAGTACAGGAAGTAGAAAACTACCAGAACAGTGGACTTCCTCACACCCAACAGAAGGGGACCCTGGTCCCACAACCATCAGTATAGGAAAAGGCACCCTCTGGAACCGACTGCAAGTACAGATGGGAAGGAGACAAAATAAAAACACAAAGAGCAATAGAAAAACCAATATGACAATGCCAAAATCCAGAGACCCTACACCAACAAGACTGGAACATCCCATCACAAATGAACTAGAAGAGAATGATATAAAAAATTTCATGGAAATGATAGAGGCCCTCAAAGAAGATATGAGAAAATCCCTTAAAGAGATGGAAGAAAAATCAATCCAAAAAATGCAAGAAATGAAGCAAAAGACAAATCAAAAATTGCAAGAAACAATTCAAACAGTACAAGGGCTGAAATATGAAATGGAAACAACAAAAAATAAACCCAGTCTGAAGGAATGCTGGAAATAGAAAAGCTGGGAAAATGGGCAGGTAATACAGATGCAAGCATAACCAACAGAATACAAGAAATGGAAGAGAAAATCTCAGGTGTTGAAGATACACTAGGAGAATTAGACTCATCAACCAAAGAAAATTTAAGTCCAACAAATCCCTAACACAAACTATCCAGGAAATATGGGACACCATGAAAAGACCAAACTTAAGAATAATAGGAGCCGGGTGTTGGTGGCACACGTCTTTAATCCCAGCACTCGGGAGGCAGAGGCAGGCGGATCCTGTGAGTTCGAGGCCAGCCTGGTCTACAGAGCGAGTTCCAGGACAGCCTCCAAAGCCAAAGCCACAGAGAAACCCTGTCTTGAAAAACCAAAAAAAAAAAAAGAATAATAGGTATAGAAGAAGGTGAAGAAACCCACCTCAAAGGGGCAGAAAACATATTCAACAAAATCATAGAAGAAAACTTTCCCAACCTTAGGAAAGTCATGCCAATGAAGGTAAAAGAAGCCTACAGAACACCAAATAGAGTGGATGCCCCCAAAAATTCCTTTGACTCATAATAATCAAGACCCCAAACATACAGAATAAAGAAAGAATATTAAGAGCAGCTAGGGAAAAAAGGCCAAGTTACATATAAAGGCAAACCTATCAGAATTACACCTGACTTCTCCATGGAAACTCTGAAAGCCAGAAGGTTCTGGATAGATATTCTACCAACATTAAGAGTCCACGGATGCCAGCAAAGACTGCTATGCCCAGCACAGCTTTCAATCAGTATAGATGGAGAAAACAAGGTATTTCATGACAAAACCAGATTTAAACAATACATATCCACTAACCTAGCCCTACAGAAAATTCTGGAAGGAAAACTCCAACCCAAGGAAGTTAACTATCACCAGATAAACATAGGCAATAGATAATCTCACTTTACCAACAGGCAAAAGAAAAAGTGATGTAAATTCACATACAATTCCAACAACAACCACCATCCCAAAACAAACAAGAATGAGCTATCAATGGTCATTAATTTCCCTCAATATTAATGGTCTTAACTGACCCATAAAAAGACACAGGTTAACAGAATGGATTTGAAGGCAGAATCCATCCTTCTGCTGCATACAAGAAACACACCTCAGCTTCAAAGACAGACGTTATTTCAGAGTAAAGGGTTGGGAAAAGATATTCCAATCAAATGGACCCAAGAAACAAGCAGGGGTAGCAATCCTAATATCTAACAAATTAGACTTTAAACTAAAATCAATCAAAAGAGATGAAGGAGGTCACTTCATACTCATCACAGGAGAAATCAATCAAGATGAATTCTCCATTCTGAACATCTATGCCCCAAATGCAAAGCCATCTACGTTCGTAAAAGAAACATTACTAAAACCCAAAGCACATATAAAACCTCACACAATTGTAGTGGAAGACTTCAACACCCACTCTCACCACTAGACAGGACCACAAGACAGAAACTTAACAAGGATACAAAGGACCTAATAGGTGTTATGACCCAATTGGGTTTAACAGACATCTATAGAACACTCCATCCAAACACAAAAGAATATACCTACTTCTCAGCTCTACACGGAACCTTCTCAAAAATTGACCACATACTTGGCAACATAGCCAACCTCAACAGTTACAAAAAAATTGGAATAACTCCTTGTATCTTATCAGACCATCATGCCTTAAAGATAGAATTCTACAATAACAAAAACAGCAGAAACCATGCAAACTCATGGAAATTGAATAA